CCCCAAAACCCCAAAACCCCAAAACCCCAAAACCCCTCAATTTCATTCTTAGTTTGAAAATTCATAAGATTTATGACGTAAAACTGTAAACATTTTAAGCCACTGACACGACAGAGGAATATGAATTGACTTCCCAATAAGACCCATTGGCTAAGGAGGACATGTATGTTATAAAAATTTAATTACGACTATGCTTATCAGCTTGATGCTCGTATACATGAAAACTTCCCTTTGTGTATTTCAATATCTTCAGATGTTTTCCGATCGTTTTCTCGCTACTTTTAAGAAACCTTGTCACTAAAGGATGACTGATCCTATGTGGGGAAGTTTCAGTCTCATCTATCGTTCTGAACTTTTGCTCATTTAGAGCTTTTTCAAGACTATAAAGGTTATATTTAAAGTTTCTTAAATTTATTCCGAAGTGCATAAGAATATACCTATCATATGACCGATCCCTAGTGATGCCAATTTTGGAACTTTTTATGCACTCTTGGTCAGCTTTGAGGTTCATATAAAACCCGCTTCGCTTCAGTTTCTCCCTTTGTAAAGTTTCCTTTCTTTGGATTTTGAAAATGGGAGTTCTCTTGAAGCCAATATCCTGGAGGTCAAGACATTGACCAGAATCAACTAATTATAACATTTGATATTTACCAGATCTCTTGACATCGTCAAAGATTTTCCTCATTTTGGCTTGCTTATGCCAAGCAGGAAGTTTCATTTTAAGTTTGTTTAAAGCCCTTCGAAACTTGGTGGGACCGGAAATTCCCTGAATGGATCTCTTGCTTTCCAGGAGTATCTTGGGACCGAGCTTCTGAATATCTTCAAGCCGGGAAGTAGTCACTCTCTCATCACATGTAGATTGATTGGATATTCTCTCTAACGATCTTGTATCTATAAACAAAATGAGATCTATAAAGTGGGGAATTCTCTTAAACAAGTTAAAAGTGAATCCAATTTACTCTGGTCACATGTACTGATATGAATGTTTATTCTATTCTGGAATTTCCTCTGCTTCGGGCGCAGGCTCTTATGCTTCTTCATGAAGAACAAACTCTTGATATCTCTGTTTCTCTCCGTCTTGAACACATCCTGGTACGCGTGTGGTCTTGACCTAGAGATTAGGGCCATATCAGGTCTGCTTGGCTTTGTATTCATAATCATTTGCAATCAAAGTTTCAATAAAATATTAAGAACAAGGGGTTTTGGGGTTTTGGGGTTTTGGGG